TTATCAGTGCTGTTTAGTACAACATCTCATCAAATTATCACAGTATTTCTTTGCCTTTACCCCACATACCCACCGATCAGTCTCTGCTCCCCTCTCCTTCCCTTTACATCCCTGTCAATCAGGTGAATACTAAAACGGATAAGTTTTGTATTCTAACTTCTTGTTTAGAAGAGAGAGATGTATAACTTTGGAATGCATTCAAGTTTCTTGTAGTTTTGTGGCAAGGACCCGAATGCTTTTACATGTTAGCTGGCAAGTGGTAAATGTTCCTTCCATGCTCTTCTTTTTAAATGAGTCCTTTTGGAACAGAGCACTACTGCTGTGGAAACTTAGCCCGCTGGGCTCTGGTGCTGCTGCATCTTCCATCTCCCATGTGTGAGCTGCTGTTTTCCTGGCTGTCATTGTGTCATCAAAGACTGTGTCATCGCCCCACTCCTCAGAATGCCCTTTGAGGTTACCCACCACCTTTTACCCTCCCGCTCTCTTGCTTCTTGCCCTGCTGCTCCTAGGGCTCTGACTCTTGACTCTTGTCTGACTTACTATTTCTCCCTGTCCACTCCTTCAGCTCGTCCTGCAGGTAGAGACTGGGCAAAGTACCATGGTGGTGCTGGCTACTGACCACAGGCCCTTCTGGAAAGCACTTTACCTGGCTCCCCAGCCTTAATCACCACCCTCCTGCCCCCTCTCTGCCTGCTTCACTGTCCATTCACTGCCATCGGCACTTATTAGCGTGTACAGGCCCCATGACATCAGCGAACTTAAGGGGGGGGTGTGAAATTCACATCTTAACTGTCACTGAAAGTGGGCATATAAAAAGGATCCTTAAAATACAGGCACAAAATCACTAGCACTGGCAATACCTGTGGCTTCAGCACCTGTAAAACTTGGTTGCCTTGAGGTCACCTTTCAGGTTGTGATTCTGATCTTGACATTTCCTTCATGCCTTACCTTAGAGTTCCTACAGGAAGGCAGAAATTGAGCAAGTCAGATACGAATCCCCGCCTGAGCTGAGCAGTGACCGGCCCAGAGCAGATGTTCAGTCAGCGCTGGGTGGTGCCCCATCATGACTGACTGCTGATGGATAAAGGGAAAGTGCCAGTGTCGCTTAATAACCTGTCCAGCAGAGGCCCATGTAATTACTACACATGTAAGTTGGTGCACGCCTCATGTTCATGGAGAGTGGAGCAGTAGGCAGCAGGGAGCACGCTACAGGGCTTCTGATGGTGAGGCTTTTGAAGATTTTCTCCCACTTAGGTTGATTCTCTGTAGTTTTTCATCAGTTTACTTACTTAGACGTAATACTTAATATGTAAAATTGTGATTCCAATCCACAAGTTGTACCTTGGGAAGAAGGGTGGGCAGTCTGCTCCCATGCGATTTACTGCCTCTGAAAACCTGCTGGAGGGTCAGTTTGGACTCAGTGGCACACAGCCACACACTGTGTAAAATGTATTATACATTCATGGGGTTTTGATGTTAGTGATTTTTAAATTTTTCTCATGTTAATCATTTTTTATACATTTATATCCTATAATATAGAAATATTGAAAGTATCTATAATGTAATACTAACTAGTGTTTTACTTATTTCACCGCTGTTCAGACACTTGTAAGAATACTTTTGATAAGTCTAAGTGAATATCAAAGAAGACAGGATAGGGATAGGGCCTGGAGGGCCTGCTCTGGGTTGTTGAGGAATTGACCACAGGGACGGACTAGCTAAGCTCACTACCCAGGTATGTCACTAGGTGGCACCACTGGGCCAGGATCCGCAGCTTTCTGCCAGATCAGGAGGAAGGGGAGGTTTTGGCTGGGGTAGAGATGAGGGAGAGGTTGTCTCTGTGTGTCTTCTTTCTCAGTAGGCTAGAGAGACTTATAGATTGGATGTTTCTAAGGTAGAAAATAATGCGCACGAAGGAATTGCAGCCTTACCATTTCATCTGATAATTTTTCTTTTTTTTTTCTTTCTATACCTGTAGTCCCTTCTGAAACAGGTAATATTTTAACAGTCATTTTGTATTTCTGCATCTTGCTCTTATCATGCTACTATTTCTTAGCATAAATAATGTAAATTTAATAAACCCTGATGTGTGGCATTGTGAAAATCTGCATGCAAATTCCCACAAATTCAATTAGATTATGGCCAATTGATTTTTCCCAACTTTGCCTAAATCTTGGTTATACCATTATACTGTTTGTTTAATACCCTCAACAATGGTGTGTTAAAAGTATAAACATGAGTGTTGATAACAAAATAGTTAATGTTTTCAGAATTTGTAGTCATGGGGATAGATAATAGTGGAGAAGGAAGCACCAGCCATGGTACGTGTGACCCTGGGAAGCAGCATGACACAGAACCTCCGACAGCCCCAGCCAGTGAGCAGGGTTTGCCTCAGTCTGGCCCTGGCCCCACATTTTGCTGCCTCTCCCCATCTCTCCCTGAACACCTGATGCATCTCTACAGAGGAAATGTCAAGTCAAGGAATCCCCTTCCATACAGAACCATACTTTGTTGTTTTCCTCTCCCATTTATGCCTATGACGAAAACTACCACACTCAAAACAGCTCTGCGCTGTCATCTCACCCCATCAACATAGCAGGGCTCGACAGGGCAGTAGACAGCAAATACCAGCGAGGTTGTGGAGAGAGTACAACTCTTACTCACTGCTGGTGGTAAAATGGTACAATCACTATGAAAGGTGGTCTGGTGCGTTCTCAAAAAGTGGGAAATAGAAATAACCATTTGACCCAGCAATTCCACTACTGGGAATATACCCTGAAGAAACCAGAACCACAACTCAGATGTATACACACCTTTGTTTTTTGCTACATTATTCATAATAGCAAAGAATTATTATTATTCATAATAGCAATAACTGCCCATCAACAAATGGATAGAAAAACTATGGTACATCCACACCATGGAATATTACACAGCACTGAAAACTAGTGAACTCGTAAAACATTACATAGCATGCGGGAGCTTGGAGGACATTATGCCGAGTGAAATATCTCAGTCCTAAAAAGGACAAATAGCATAACACCACTGTTATAAGATAGGACAGACATGGAGGAATTGGGGAAAGAATGGAAAAAGAGTGGATAGGTAATAAACACTTCATTAGATCAGATGATGGGAAGAATTTTCTGAGAGGAATGTATGATGAGGCATTATATATATGATAGTCTGGAACAAGGGATACCTTGTGGGGAGGGCTAGAGGAGGAAGAAAATGTACAATAATGAAAAATATTAAAACATTTTCTGTGTTTAAAAACCCAAACCAAACCTACCATACTAAGCAATAGTGTGTGAGTAGTGAATTCCTTCATAAGGGGGAATCTTAGTCTCACTCCCTGGTGCTTCCTAAATGATATTAAGGGTACACACACTCTCTCTCTCACTCTCTCACTCTGTCTCTCTCACACTCTTTTTATAGGAACATATTCTGCAATGAGAAAAGGTCTGTCTATGTGGCTACATAAAAAAAATGCCTGGAGCATGAATTTCTTGAATACAAAGAGTGTTGTCTTTAGTGCTGACTTTCTTAGAAAATGCTTTAATGATTGAAAGATGTGCTTTTCCAAAGCAGTATGTTTAAGACTTTAACACAATGTTAAATCCACATATTATGACCGAGGTGTTAGTAAGAGTAGGGCTAGTCTCAGGTGAGTGTCACGCAAGGCCAGTGGCTTCCAGCTGAAGGTGGAGCATTGAGCAGAAAGCCTGTGCCTCTTGGGACCTGTCAGCTTTCTCAGGGTGCTTTCTCAGCTTTCTCTCGTTGAGGTCTGCTGCTCTGGAATCTCCCGGGGTGTGTTTGTGACGTTGAGAATTGCTCATTGTAGGAACAGTGCTGATTGGGGCTGACACCTGATCTCATAGATGCAGTTACTGCTGCACACGTACATGTTGGGGGGCTGTAGACATCCACATGCACGCCCCCTGGGCTGAGAGCAGGCCTGCATGTGAGTGACCGGATGTGCTGTCTCTGGTCTCCTGCTGTGCCACAGTGGGACTTTGCCCCCTAGGAGAACACAGAAGCATTGCCAAGGCAAGACTCCTTTAGAAGGAAACTACTGGGTAAGGACAAGGATGGGAGGTAGGACCATTCACTCCCCACAGGAGCCGCATCAGTAGAGGCAGCGACTCTAGACCTCTAGAAGGTTCTGCTCTGGCAGCCCAATGCCAGCTTGTATCTACAGAGCCTTTTCTCACACTGTAGTTGGCCAAGTGGGACTATATGTAGATGACACCTGATGCCCAAATAGAGCACATCCCCTTTGTTAGACAGTGCTTCAAGGTATTGTGTCCACCGGGCATGCTGCTACCACCCTATCCCCACGTGCCAGTGCTCCGTAGTGACTGGTGAGAGTCCAGGTCAGGGAGAATGTGAGGAGAAGTCTGGGTGATCCTGTAGGGAGGGAGTGAGGGCTGTGTGGAGCGTGACCTTGTAGAGTGGCTGCACTTCTTAGAGGGGCAGAGCCCGGGAGTACCTTGGCCACTTCTCACAGACATGGATTTGGAATGTTTCAAAACAAAACCAAACAAGCCGTTGTCCACAGATTTGGCTGCAGGTGTTCTGAATGTACCTCTTGTGAAAAGGTCCATTGAACAAGAGATCTTGTTGTGGATAGATGAAGGGGAATTGTCTGTATCCCTTTTGAAACGCACAATCATTCTTTTCCGTGATGGAATGAATTGTGTAACCATGGTAGAACTTTTTCTACTTTGGAGGAAGGCTCCTTTCCTGGCAGTCTTCTGTGATGTCACTCACTCATCCTCTGAGGGTGGCAGAGCCAGAAGTAGCACACGTGGTAGCGGTGCACACCCCTAGTGTGTACATACTGCTCACATGAGAGTGCAGACTGCTAACAGATGCTGTTAGGCCACGAAGCCCCTTTGCACCACTGCTGTTTGAGCACATCTCTGATCAGTCCTTGTGTAGTTATGTAGTCTGTTGTCTGGTGGTGGGATCTCTCACCCCCAAACTGTCCTTTGCAGATGCATTCACCGACTCTGCCGTCAGTGCTAAAGTCAACGGGGAGCACAAAGAGAAGGACCTGGAGCCGTGGGATGCAGGTGAACTGGCTGGCACCGAGGAGCTGGAGGCTTTGGAGAACGATGTGGTACGTCACACCCCTGCGGGCGGCGTTGGTCTGGGGATCGGTGATGGCACGCACAGCCCCGCTGGGGGTTTAGACTGAAGCAGACCTATTTTGTGCCTTGTTAGAGTCAATGTTTGTTGAATAAGGAGATAATTTCCTCCACAGTCCCCAGACAATAAATTTAAGGAAAATACTATGTTATTTTACTTGTAAGAAAGCTATTGGTTTTCACTGATGCTCAAAAAATATATCTTTCTGATTAAAATAGACCCTACAGGTATAAGCTGGGCACAGGGAAACTTTGGAAATACCAGTACTGAATTTAGTATCATAAGCCCTTAATGAAGGTTATGTCTTTAGAACTGATGAATATTTACGATGTTTCCAGTAAATTTTTTTTTAAGTTTTAGAGATAGAAACCAAAGTTACTTGCCAAATCTGAGTATCTAACTACCAGAATTTTAATTGGATGAGGGCTCTTTCATTGATTATAATACAGAAGTCTTTAGAACTTGTATCAGTCTGAATGCATTGGAGAATGATATCATGCTCAGAAGGGTGGAGTGACAGCGCAGGAGAGGAAGACCCTGGATGAGATGGATTGATACAGTAACTGGGGCAATGGGGGTTGGTCTGTCGGAGTCAGTGAGCCTAGCTCAGGACAGGGCAGGCTTCAGAGTTGCTGTACATGGGGTAGCTATGGGTCACAGGTGACATAATAACAACATGTCCTGTCGTCAGACTGGAAATCCGTGACAGCACATCATTACTAATTTCCAGACTTTGTAGAAAGCATGCTTCCCTGGTGTGACTTCTCATTGGTAGATGCTTTCTGGAAACGTTTACCAAAGCGTAAAATGCACGCATCCTCTGCTCCAGCAGATTTGCTTTTCCTGTTAGGTGCAGTCCAGTCTGAAGTAATGTGTAGCTGACCCTCCAGCAGAGCTTCAGAGAGTGTCAGTCTCCCAGAGGAGACAGCCCACTTGGCTCCTGCAGAGCAGCAGGGAGGTCAGACTGCCTGCCTTGGAGGTGACAGTGAAATTCCTTATCAATTGGATAAGACCTCTCGAATTCTACCTGTAAGAGGGCGTTAGCCATAAATATACCCATAAGGCATACAGAGCCCCCACAAATCTTTGCGTTCTTCCTTTCCATCCTGGTCTCGGCACTGTGGCCCTGCCAAGTAGGATGGTGAGAAGGACGGCCGTTCTGTCATCAGCGGAGTTGTGACTGAGAGTACCATCTGCATTCATAAGGACATCCATAGAGCACGCTAAAGCATGCCTCTTGGGCATTATGGTGATCGGGAAATTTGCCATGAAGGAGATGGGAACACTAGATGTTATCATTGACATCAGGCTCAACAAAGCCATCTGGGCCAAAAAAATAAGGCATGTCTCCCAGACTGTGTCAGTGGGCAGTTGTGCAGAAAGCATAATGAGGACAAAGATTCCCAAACAAGCTATACCTGTCACCACTTAGAAAAATCTACAGACAAAGGTGGCCCAATGGCAAGAAGCTGTATTGCAATCCTGAAGGTGCACGTTTCGAATCCTCCAGATGCTCTGCTGGAGAAGGATGGGCAGTCTCCTGTGGTATGATAACTATTGGTAGTATAGTCCTGTTGTGTAACTGGATAAAAACAGCTACTTTATCCCTTTGGCAAAATGAGCTTCGTTTTCTTCTAGTCTAATGGATGGGATCCTAATGACATGTTTCGATATAATGAAGAAAATTATGGCGTGGTGTCTACATATGATAGCAGTTTATCTTCATATACGTAAGTTTGCAAAGTTTGCTTCTGTTTGAGTGCATTTGTCTTTAACCAAATTACGGTTTAAAGAAATGCTTCAATTGTATTTTAATCAATTATGGGAGAGTTATTAAGTTACCATTTAGGCTTCTAAATTCTTATTAAAATAGAGAATAAATGTGGAGGGGGTTTTATCCTAATGTTGTGCTCTGAATCTGCATTTGTTTTGAGGTTATAAAAAAGATAAATTTGCAAGGGCAGTGCCTGAATGATCAACGGAGCCAGTTTTTAAAATGTCCTATTGCCCTAGCACAGGTAGCAGAAAAGCAGTAAATCTTGATTAATAAATAAAGGAATAGATGACCTTAACTCTTACAGTGTTAATCTCAAGTGTTTGAAAAGCAAGGCTTTCTTAATGGGTGATAGGACAGGTGTGTAAATGATTACTGTAAAAATGTTCACTTTGTTGGTTTTCCCTCTCTTTTTCAGGGTGCCCTTAGAAAGGGATAACTCAGAAGAATTTTTAAAACGGGAAGCAAGGGCAAACCAGTTAGCAGAAGAAATTGAATCAAGTGCCCAGTACAAAGCCCGTGTGGCCCTGGAGAATGATGACAGGAGTGAAGAGGAGAAGTACACTGCGGTGCAGAGAAATTCCGGTGAACGTGAAGGGCACACCGTAAACACTAGGCATGTCATGGAAATCATGATGCAGTATTTTGGATATATGGTCTGTTGAGCTTCATCTAAAGGCACTGAGAAAGAGAAGGCAGGTGGAGTTGGTGTCAGGTTATGAATCTTGGAGAAAAGATTCCAGTGATCTTGTAAAGTTGTTTTTGAGAGTCGGCTCTGTGGAGCTAAGTGTTGGGTCTGGAGTGATGAACAGGCCAAGACCTTGAAGGACTGATCACCACAGAACAACCGTTAGTGGGAGGTCCCCCTGCTGTGGTCACAGTACAGTGTACTAGACCAGAGGTTCTGAGGCTAGGAGTTTTCCAAGTGCGCAGAACCCCCGTAGCCTGTGGGATGAGAGAAAGAGAGCCTTACCATGTGGTGACATTTCATGGTGGGACGATGGTTCTGTCCGCCACTCACAGACAGTTACAAGGGAAGAATTTCTTCCCAGATGACAAGATGCATCTAGGACAAGGGCCATGTCCTAGAACCCCACCAGCTGCAGAAAAGGCTTGTGGTTTTCTATGTCGGGATCGAAGTGGTAGGAACTGGGGAAAATAGGTTGGGCCAGGTAGTAAGGGATTTTGCATGCTGTATGTGTAAAGATGGCCCTGTGTGGTCAGAGCAATAAGAGAAGGTTGGGGGATAGAGGACCACCCGAAGCCTGTTGGTTAGTGTGTGGCGCTAACAGAGTGTTCAGAGAGTTGAAACCTGAGAACTTGGAGCCACTTGCACGAGGGATGAGGATGGGAAGGTACAAAGAACCAGGAAACCTGAGGTTGCCTTCACCATTAAACAGATAGCAGTTGTGCTGAGAGTGAAACAGACATGAGCCGCATGGGTGGGAGAGACCTGGTGTCCATCTGTACAGTTTATGGCGTGAAAACACTGCCTTTGTTCCATATTTAAAAAGGTAAATAAATGGTCACCAAAAAAGAGGCAGACCCTCAACGAGATGGATGGGGTTGGTAACTGTAATGGTGGGCCCTTGCATCAGAGATGATAAGACTGGCACATGTCAGGGCAGGGCTCAGATCTGCTGTTGATTGGGTTACTGTGGGTCATCTAGATAGTGTCTGACAACAACATCTACGTGGTAGGGTGCTCTGGCAGCATAATTAGTAGGTGTTTGCCCCTCTAGACAAATCATGGCACCATGATGGTGGTTTGAGTCCACCAGTGGCTCTGGGAGTGAAAGATGGGAGTTAATCTCCTTTCATGCCTTTTACAGCCTCCAAAAACCCACTGAAGATTCAACTCTGATTTGTTTGCAACTTGGTGGCAGAGAGTTTTTGAGTTTAGATATGCCTAGTAGCAGAGTACATGCATCTCGCCTTCAAAGATCTGCCCGTTTTAGAGTTTGGAGGTTTGAAGTGTTGAGTAGGACATGTTGGGACTGTGAGAGTGACATTGTGGATCTGAAGCTCATCAACAGTGCTGCTACTGAAGCCACAGAGACACAGAAAGAAAAGTTTCATCTGAAATCTAAAAGAAAATAAAGTTAAGAAAGAAGAAAGTTTGAAGGAATTTATGATTGCTAGAATCAGCCATGGAGAGACCAGATAGAGAGCAAGTGGACAGACATCTGTTGAACTCTGCTTAGGAGGAGAAGTGGAGGCTTGAACTCCGAATAAGATAGGAAGTATTGGGGTAGCCGGGAATGAGCCATTCTGGTCTAGTGTTGAACAAGCATTACGTTCTGCCTAAATTATTTTAGGTATGTTTCATTGGCCTGGTATCTTTGATTGGAGCTTTTTAAGAAGATCTCTCCTTTTCAGGGAAAACAAGTATATTCCTCCTGGACAAAGAAATCGAGAAGTCATCTCCTGGGGAAGTGGGAGACAGAATTCCCCAAGGATGGGCCAGCCGGGGTCGGGCTCCATGCCATCAAGATCCTCCTCTCACACTTCAGATTTCAGCCCGAATTCTGGCTCAGACCAAAGAGTAGTTAATGGAGGCAAGTATTTTGCCCAAATTTGTCACTGTTCTCTGTCAACTCTCTAGTGTTCTAAGTACGTAACAGTTTACAATAATTGATTGGAATGTGCACACCTTTGATTATTGTGGAGTAGTTGGCATGCTCAAATTATTTCAGATTTGTGTTTATTGATACCAGATTAGTAGAATGTTGTAGAAGTCATTGCTGTGTATAGTATATAGCATGAAAAATAGTCATGTACTAAGATAAATGCTGACTGTAGCCCCCAAATATGCACTTCCCAAAAACTCTCCATATAAAGAAATTGGAAACTTGGGGTAGGTTCTCAATTTTAACAGTACTGGATAATAAATGAATTTAGATTTAGCTTATATAGACCATCTTTTCCTATATGAAGCTCTAAATGTTTCCTATACATTCATTTTCATGAACTTCTTATTTTATATGGTGTGCTTTCTTTAAAAAGGACTGTGACAGCTTATAAGACCTGACCAAGAGTCATGTACAGAGGAAAGCTTCACTTTACAGTGCAAACTACTGTGGGTCCGGGGACATGTGGTGGGGCAGCGTGAGGAACAGAAACAGGGGCTAGCAAGGAGACTGACCTCCCCGCATGGATGGTGCTCATAGCTCACAGGTTTTTAAAATTCTTAGCGATAGTGAGGGATGCAGGGATAGTAGGATTGGGATCGTGTGAGAGAAGAATAACAGATATCAGAGGTAGGTTTGTAGAAAAGAGTGGGCCTTCACTTCTAGAAGGTTAAATTTGAAAAGTAGGGGAGAAGGAGAGATCACTTAAGTTTCTAATTTCATTTGTTTTTATTGAGCCTTTTCTCCAGAATTCCTCTCCAAATAAACACTCTTGCGTATTTCTAAATGTAGGATTGGGGTTAGAATATCTCTGCTCATTGAGTAAAGAACTTGAGTTGCTCAAGAACAGAATTTTCAAAGTTAAAACCAGAAGGGAGCTAGGAAACGAATGCCACTCAAGTGTGTGCCGCTCACGGTCCTCCGTGAGCCCTAGACCAACTGACTGATGTGAGTGGCACGCAGTTGAGGTGCTGGCGGCTCTGACCTGTGCGTGTCCATCATGCCGCTCTGTCTGGGAAGACTGCTCTTCAGCACTGGCTGTGGCAGTCTCCTAGAGGAGTGTGTAACTACTACACAGGAGTTCAGAGGCCCTCTTTCCTTAGCCAATTGAGTAAGATTTAATAACTGTTGTCATTCAGTGACTCTAAAACATAATAATAACATTTTACTTCTTTAGTGAGACTTGCTTAGTCATGCTTCAGACTGAACCTCAGGTTCAGTGTAAACTAGACGAAGTCACAGACGATTACCAGAACCAGCATTTTCATGAGCTAGAAGAGCCATTACTGGTTTCATTATATTTCAGAAGCTACAGCTGTGTGGTAAAGAATCTGAGCCAGATCCAGTGATATGTTGTGTGGCATTTTCTAGCAAATGTTGTACTCCTTTTAACAATCGAGACCCAGAAAAGCAGAGTAGAAGCAGGGCTCATAGGCTGAGTCATGGCTGTCTTCTTCAGGAGTATTTGTAGATCCCAATTAACCCTTTGGGAACGTGTATTCTATTGAAACAGACTGAATTTTAAGGTGGTTACAGTAAAATGGGAATTTGTGTTGGTTAAGCTATGCTAAAACTTAGCACAAGTCAAATGACTGTCCTCAAAGGGTTAAAATGTACAAGAAATCATTTTTGTCATTTTACTTTTTTTCCGTTTACTTTTTCCCTCATTTTTTTCTTTAGTTTTTATACTTTCCTTCATATCATTTGTTCTGTCAGGTGTCCCCTGGCCATCGCCCTGCCCATCTCCTTCCTCTCGCCCACCTTCTCGCTACCAGTCAGGTCCCAACTCTCTTCCACCTCGGGCAGCCACCCCTACACGGCCGCCCTCCAGGCCCCCCTCGCGGCCATCCAGACCCCCGTCTCACCCCTCTGCTCATGGTTCTCCAGCTCCTGTCTCTACTGTGCCTAAACGCATGTCTTCAGAAGGTACAATACCACAATTTGTTCATGTTTCTGTTTGTCTTTGTTTGACTCCTTTGTGAGTTTATGATTACAAAATAGTTTCCTCTTCATTATTTAATAACCTATGATTTCCGTGTTTTAACTTTAGTTTATGAAAGCTGTTTCTATTGACCTTTTGTTCATAATATGAGAGAAGTCTGGTAAATGCTATGTGAAGGTTGTGACCTCACCTGACTTGTGAGAAGGGAGGTTTAATCTCTGCCTGGTGCTACACTCCTTTACAGTGTCAGGAAGTGAACCTTGGCAGAGCTGGTGCCCACCTTGTGGGCAGTGGTGGGCTCACTGCAGAGCCACTGTCACTGACAGCTCCTTCACCTGAGGCTCCAGGCACGAGTGGGGGTCTAGAGGTCCTTCTTGAGAGGACTTTGCGGTTGGGTCCTTGTGTGTGTCAGCCTTTATGGCCCAGTGCAGAGTTTAAGTGATTGAGAATTTAAGACTGTAGCTTTGAATGTTATACAGCCACAGGCTAATCTGGGAGAAGCCTTGATCTCTAAGACAAGTGGTTAATTTAAAAAAACTGCATATGGCTTGTGGCTGTAGGTGTTTTTGCTCCTTGCCCTTGTCAGAAAATAAGACTAAAATCCTGTATTTCATATGCAGTATTTGATACTAGATTCACCACCCTTATGAAATAGTTTCCTCGTCATTATTTAATAATCTATGATTTCATAAACTATAAAGTACATAGATGTGACAGAGAAAAGTCATATTAAAATAGTCAAAAGTAATTTAAAATAGTGTCTTAAGTTAAAAGTCTGTTTTCCAGCCATTCGTTACTGCCCTTTTGAAACTAGGTCAGAGTATTGACCCTAACTGTAATCTGAATATATTAAAATTACTTTTGCTAAAATTCATGCTGGGGATGGTAAAGTTTGGTGGCATGAACTGCTTTCCTGCATAAAACCATGCTGCCTGTTTTTAACGAGATTGTCCCCCAGACACAGAGAGGGATGTGATGTTGAACAGTAGGTTTCACGTACGTTCAGAGTGACATCCTTCTCAGAAATGCTGCTGACAGTGGTCACCCCCCAAAAAGTGAAATTCTGCTGAAGAATTTGTTGAGCAGAAGCTGGAAGTGCCTCCAGGCTTGAGTCCGCTGTTTGAGTAAGAGTGGTGGTACCTCATGAAGGTGCCTTCAAGCAGACAGGACTGTGAAGCACATTAAGAAGAAAGGGTCGTTTGGGGACTCACTGTCACGGTGATTTTGTGTTTCTTTTTCTACTGATTTGAATTAAATGTTTTCTATTTGGGCAGTAACTTGGTGCTGAAGAATTTTTGAAGTGTCATTTTCAGAATTAAAACTGTTAAATACAGTATTTTGTTTTCTTAAGTATTCCTATCACCAAAAGGAATAATTTTGTTTCTTAAAAGTTTTATATTTTATTTTACAAACGAGTTGTGCTAGCAGATTGTCTTTACATGGAATGATGTAATTGCTACTGCTCAATTCTTAAATCATCCTTCTATCTGAACCATATGAACAGTTGAACGCAGAACGTCTGACATTAGCACATTAGCATTCCCTGAGCTAACTGACGACCTACGTTAATCTGAAGCTCTGAGTTGTGTGGCGGAAGGGAGGGTTGGCCCTGGCTTTCACATTAAGAGCATTTTAAGGCCAGTTATCAGCACTTCTAGGCTTATGAGGGAGATCGCGTATGTCTGGTTTCACCTGACTGCTTTGTTCTCCACTGTGGCCATCTTTTAGACACAAGACTCAGTACCAGGGTGACCGTTGACTTCATGCATGGTTCTTCCCTAGATCTGGAGCTTTGGAGTCACACAGTTAAAGTAGACTGCTCAGCAGTTGAGCCGTGAGTTATAAAAAAGGGATCAACAAGGCAGAAGACATAGATATTCTTAAGATTTTTGAGAGGTTTAGAAGGGCATGCACATTTGTTTCAGTAGTAACCAGGGTTATATAAAGAGTAACAGTCTTGTTACATAATGTATTCTTGTTATTTGTAGTTTTTTTAGTAAGGGGAAGAAGCAGGAGAAGAAAGCTCAAAGTAAGGATAAAATAAAAATTCCATCATGTAGCTGTTAACTTTTGTTAACATTTTATTTTACTTTTAAGAACCTGTAAGTCATAAGTACAGATGAAACAAATTCATAAATCCTTTCCACATCTTAAACTTTGATTTCTGGCCAACTTCATCCTTCCCTTAACTTACAAAGGAAGGGAAATAAAAATTACCTTTGTTCATGAGCGTTTGTGGCATTCTACAAAATAACTGGGTTATTATGGTCAAAAGTTATGTGTGAGTTTTCTTTCTTTTTTAATCAAGGAGCTGTTGAATTACTTCCTTAGTGAAGCTGTAGACTGTGTGAGAGGGAGTGAGTGTGTGTGTGTGTAACAACAAATTCTACATTGTGGCACTCATAGCATTTTCACTGTTCCTCTCTTAGGACCTCCAAGGATGTCCCCAAAGGCTCAGCGGCACCCTCGAAATCACAGAGTTTCTGCTGGGAGGGGTTCCATTTCCAGTGGCCTAGAATTTGTACCCCACAACCCACCCAGTGAAGCACCCCCTCCTGCAGTGGCGAGGACCAGCCCCGCGGGGGGCACGTGGTCGGCAGTAGTCAGTGGGGGTAGGTAACCGGGGCGTGGGGCAGACGGAGTTACAGGGTTTGCTTTGTGGTTTGATTGTCTTTGGAATGGACTGAGCTCAGGCTCTGCTGGAAGAAGGCTTGTCCAGGCAGTTCAGCCACGTGGGAATGTGAAGGAGCAGGATCACCAGGAATTGAAGACCTACCATCCATCTCACTTTGACCTCCACCGGCTATTCACCCAGTGAATTAACTCTGTTAGAGCAGATTAGCACAATCATGCTGAATTTCTATTTTCTCAGTCAAGTATGTACTTCTTGCCTGGTCTAATTTGTAGGTTTGTGTGGAAACTTGTTCTGCGAAGATACTGAGATGATATTCATGACAGCTTTATAAAGCGCCCTTCAGAGGCCCTATTTCTGTAGCATCTGTATGTGACCCCATTCCCTACCTCTGCATCCCTGGTGAGCAGTAGCTACTGTCCTCAGGTTCCTTCTGATTTATTGTGACTTTCTGTTTCTTTATGTGAAGATAAGACATTTCACGCTTTTTTTTCTGAAAGAGGAGATTTGGAACCACTGACCTTTTGGTTAGCAGCCCAGCATGGTAATGCCCTCTGGCATTAGGGCTCCTTTTTATAAGGGAGTTCAAACAAATCCAAATTAGGGGCCAGATTTGTCTACTGTTAGTCTGAGTGTAAAGACAGAAGCGTAAATGTTACACTTGGGTAAACTTAACCAGAAGAGAGAAAAGCTTTGTAACATTTGCCTGAGCAGGGCTGCAGCCCAGGCCACAAAGCCAGAGAGAGGCCTGCCTTTGGGCACAGCCATACAAAGTCTATCCTGATTAAAGAACTGCAGCCTCTGTAATTTCTGATGCTTCATTGCAACCTATTACACCCCTAATAAGCCCCATGCTAAGTACTTCCCTAATAAATGCATGCCTATGGAAAAAAGCCGAATTTAAAGCCCCCTTGGGTCAACTTGCACCATTCATCCAAAACTATTTTTGCAGGGACACGCCCTCTTGCTTTGTGCCTGTGGTAACTGGTGAGTGGTGGCTTGCAGAAATTGCTCGTTTATGTTTTGGTCTTAATCTGATAGATGAATACCAACTCAATTCATAATGATCCTGTTGAACTGCTTCTCAGCCATAAGTCTTTATGGAGAAGAGAAGACTCACCTTCCCCATGAAGAACCTTAAAATAAAAAAGGGCTCTTCTACAGAAGCAGAGGGGAAATGTCCAGCTCCTAACTGTACCAAAAAGAGCCATTTCAGGAAGTCATGTCTGATCAGACCCATGGTGCTGCAGGGGCAAGAACAGGGGGTGTCCACGCGGCACTGAAGGCAGTGCCAGAAAGGAAGTCCTTGGCAGCCATGGAAGACGGGTCAGCAAACAGATGCAGCCCTAGACCTCATTAGTCTGTACCACGAAACCTGTAAGGCAGCCGTCTGGCCAACTAACTGGAAGAGAGCTATTTTCATTCTATAAAAAACAAAGATGGTCAACAATGTAGAAATTATTGAACTGTATCATTAATATCACATGCAAGTAGTAACTTTGCTCAAGGTTATTAAAAACCAGTAGGGACAGTACATCCATCTTCAGGGAACTGCCAGAAATCAGGCTGGATTCAGAACACACCATGCCGTTGAGAGAGAATTGCTGATCCTGGCTGAAAGCAGAGAATACCAGAAGGATGTTCATTTATGTTTTATTGACAATGCAAAGGGATTTATTTGGTTTTGTGGCTTATGCCTGATCTAGGCCATTTTACTTTCAATTGCACTCAAACGTGGACAGTGAATATGAAAGAATAAATTGTATTGGATTGGAGAATAGTATTAAATATCCTGTGGACTGCCAAAAGAACAAACAAATCTGCCTTGGAATAGGTGCAGCTGGCCTTCTGCTTAAAGACAAGAATGATGCTTTGTCTCAAATAGTTTAGATATGTTGTCAGGAGGGGCCAATCCTTGGAAGAAGCTATCATGATCGGGGAGGTAGAAGACCAAGGAGAAGAGAGGAAGACCTACAGAGAAATGCAGTGAGCAGTGATGCCACCAGTGTCTGATGCCACCAGTGTCTGAGAGTGTGGGGGAGGACTTGGGGATCGGCATGGTTTCGTTCATATTGAGGCTGTAAGTTGGGATTGCCTGGACAGCAGCCCCTGACAACATTAAAGGTCTGAGTTGAGTTGGTGGACCCTGTCCCCACAGCCTCATGAAATCTGTAACTGTATTGTAGTTCCCTTTGCACTTTCCACCTTCATCCTTTCTTTTCAGTTGCAGGAAAAAAACCAAAATTTTAAATTCTTTACATCCTCAACTGTACTTTTAATCATTTAACAGTACTCAGGTGATTTGGAATGGATTTTTGAGGGTCACAACTTGATTATAGCACAAGAAAGTAAAGCAGAAAATTATCCAATAGAGACCTGAGCAGGGCCACAAGTTCGAACTTTATACTAATTGGGAAAAGGACATTTATTGAATAATAATTTCCCCTGCAATACTGTGGTGTGCTTCAATTAAGTTGAAGTATATTGTTTTCTCTGAGCCTTTCAATCTGAGCTCTGCAAAGGCATTTATAATATAGTATGAAGTGTGTTAGGTATTTATAAACTATTAAGCTCTGTGGAGAGATGAGCTCTTCCCTTTTCCTAAATTGAGTCCCTGATTTCCTTGGTTCCTGAAGATTGATCTTCCTTCTCTGAAAAAGAGCACATGGACTTAACGGTCCTGGGCTTCTGGAAGGGCCCAGCCCGAGAACCCCACAGAGCGGGTGTACACTGCCCACAGGCACCAGGGCCAGAAGGTGCTCCGCAGCAGCTGGCATGTGGCCCAGAGGTTAGGGATTGTTTGAATAGCACATTATTCACCTAATTAGGTGTCTCCTTTTCCTGCTTTTAAAGAAACAAAATCCTTTCTAGTCTTTTGGTCCCGCTTTTGAGTAGTTAATATTGCTGTATCTTATTTTACAAACTGATGTCTCAGCTTATGATCCAGTTTCCAGCTTCATTTAAAGCCCTGCATTTTTCTTGTGAGGCTGTCCAGGTCATTGAGATTGAATATTTTGCACTGGGGGAGAATGCACAGTTACACTGAGTGTTAGCACGGGGTGTGCCACCAAGACCCTGGGCTTGGCTCCCGACCCATCAGGGTAAGAAGTGATTCATGGCAGGTGCTAGGTTTCCCAGTACAAAACATGTCAGATTATGGTCACACTAGACTTAATCATGTTAAATATGCGATACTGTAAGAAGGTTTGCCGTACTGGGAGAACGGCAGAACTACAGCACAGACACAAAGTGAGCCATTACTGTTAGAAAATGTGTTGATAGCCTGCCATAAGGCAGAGATGCTACAAACTTAATTTATACCAGCTGCGTCATCTGAAATGCAATACAATGAGGTCTGCCTGTGATGGTGCTTCTTCAGATACTTGGGTTCTATTGATAACTGCCACCATGCTTTGTAAGACTGAAAAAAAAAATACTGGGATGAAGAGTAATTGGAGGGGGAAGGGTAGCTAGAAAGTACTTTAGCTGGCTCTTCTGAGAAGCCCACTTCTTCTTTTGAGGAACCCGTATGTATGTAAGCTGAGAATTTAATAAATAACTTTCCCCTTTCTTTTAGTTCCAAGGTTATCCCCTAAAACTCACAGACCCAGGTCTCCTAGACAGAACAGTATTGGAAATACTCCCAGTGGTCCAGTTCTTGCTTCTCCCCAAGCTGGTATTATTCCGACAGAAGCTGTGGCCATGCCTATCCCAGCTGCTTCTCCTACGCCTGCCAGTCCTGCGTCCAACAGAGCTGTCACCCCATCTACCGAGGGTATGTAAGCAAGGCCTCTCAGGCCATGCTGTCACTGTCAAGTTGAGGGTTTCATTAACATGCTAAAGCCATGCAGTCACATAATACGCAGTTGAACACAACTTTAAAATTTCAGTGTAAATACACTAGGCTGTTTAAACAGAATTACTCAAAGATATTATTCCTAAACAATGTGGTTATTAGGATTAATATTCTAAACACTAAATATCTGTTTAAAGTTACTGGTGTTTCTTATGTCTGCAAAGGAGAGAAGCCTCTTTGAGTGAACTGTTCATTTCCAAGAAAAAACCAAAATTGCTGAACATTTTCCCTTTTCTCCTAACTTTGAATTTGACTTTTTTCCTTTTAGCTAAAGATTCCAGGCTGCACGATCAGAGGCAGAGCTCTTCTGCAGGCAGTAAAGAAAATGTCAAGCCCAGTGAGGCATCACCTAGTTTTTCAAAAGCTGAAAATAAAGGTTAGAATTTTACAAACTTCATATGTTTGGAAGGGAGTGTTCTTAATCCCATGCTCAGTGCAGTGCAAGGTGGGCAGCAGTTTTTATTGTATTACTTGCATTTCATTTCATAGCTTGCCAGATGCCCAAATCCATAATATTGAAGTAGTTTTTTATCTTTCTATACCGTATTTTCATTTCTGGCACTCTGTACTTAAAGAGGATCGTTATACTGAAAGAGGCAGAAGAAGGATGGCTAACCTTGCGAGTGATTGACTGCCTCTGAAAACCTGCTAGAGGGTCACCTGTGGGTCAGTTTTAATTAAACAACACACAACAACAACAAATGTGAAATGAATCTGTATCTAACATTTCTTCATTTTTACAGGCATATCACCAGTTGTTTCTGAACATAGAAAACAGATTGATGATTTAAAGAAATTTAAGAATGATTTTAGGGTGAGTATCATGTTAGACTGATGAATGAATGAATGAATGAACGGATCCTCCTCTCTTCTGTTTGTGGGTGAGCCTTGTGTAGACACTCAGGATCATTGCCCTGTCTGTGGAGAGCTGAATGCCCTTTGAGCTGGCTCTGCCTGGGTCTTTACTGGAGCAATGAAGATCATGACCTTTCAGGTTGGGGAAGTTGTGTTGCTAACACTTCAATCCACCGAGCACTGGAATTAACCTGTTGATGCTCAGGTGATTGCCTTGTTTTGTGAAGCTGTCTTTCTTTCATTAGAGCAGTGTCCAGGCCTTCATGATCTATAGTGGTGAGCAGACTCAGACCTGATTCTGGTGTTGTGAGGGGGTTCTCCTTCCTTCACAGATGAATTGACTGTTGTGCAGGCTTTGTAACATCATTTCTCCATCCTGACGCAGGCTTTGCTGAACTCTAACCCCTCTTTGATGACGTGTATTCTGTTCATTGTTTAATGTTGATGTCAGGGTAGAATTTGAGACTAGTTCCAGAGGTTACTCTGAAATGTTGCTTAATGGAAGAAAAATCACTTTTAAAACATTACTAAATCAGAGGACAAAGACTCCCTTTCTCAGCTGGCACACTGAGCAGCAAGAAAGAGAGCTGACTTGAAACCCCCTGGAGCCCCTAAGGGGAGAACTGGTCTCACACCACTCAGCCACTCCACAGGCAAAGCAGGACAATGGACTTTGGGAGAGGGGACTATAGTTAAGGCAAGATTCCTATAGAGCTGCACTGCAGACCACAAAAAACCTGAAGGACTTTAGGAAAGGCACATTTTCCCAGAAAGGACTTCTAGTAGAGTGAGTGGCCCACCCCAGAGACTGGACATCATAAAGATAAGAACTATCAACATCAAGAAAAACTTCAAATGATGTTAAGAAAATAGCAGGCAGCTTCAGACACTGTGAAAAAACAAATTAAGTCTTCACCAAATAAAGCAGAGCATATTGCAGACCCAGTGAGTACCCCAGAGTCAGGAAGACAAAAGATACCTATTGATAGGAATCTAACAACTATAAATAAGGTACAAATTATGGAGGAAACAGTGGAAACCAGAAATAAAGGCAGTACCCTAGAGACAGAAATCCCGAAGAAATACATTGATGCAGCTCCAGAAAAAGATGCAAATGATAGAAGAAACAGTGAAAGCCATTAAAAAAGCAAATGCTCCAGAAATGGGCCCACAAGAAACAACTGTGGAAAACAATGCAGAAGATAGAAGAAATTATTGAAACTATGGATAGGAGATACAAAAACGTAAAAAAAAAATTACTAAATCAAAAAGTGAACTGATCAGGGCCAAAAGGCACCCTGTGTTCCTGCTTCCAAAATGCAGCATCCTTTGCTATTACCTTCCTTCATATTGGAATTGTTTAGGACATAATAGATTATTGCAGTACTTGAGTGGATTTCAGGAGCCCTGGTGGCAAAGTAGGTTAAGCTTTAGCCAAAAGACCTGCTGTTCTTGAAACCCACCAGCCGGTGCACGTGACGGCCAGTGCAGGACAGGCAGTATTTGTGACAGTCTCTGTTGTGACAGCCGCAGTGTGTGTGTGTGTGTGTGTGTGTGTGTGTGTGAGAAAGAGAGAGACAGACAGTGCATGACGGCTAGAGTGTGCGACAGCCGGTGTGTGAAGATACAGCCTTTCTTTTACAGGGTTTCTGAGATGGTGGTGGCTGAGTGGGCACGTTGATCTCTTCAGAGTTGTTACTTTCTATTTTGAAGCAGTGTTTGCCACATGCAGATGAGACAGGGATAAGTGCACATGCATGTCCTTACTGCAGAGCTTCCTGGCAGACATTCTAGCAGAGTCCTCATGCCTGTGTGCCCACCCCTTCCCGACCCTTCCAAGGGCTGGAGGTTTTCCTCTCACACCCGTATAGTGTGCTTAAATGGAATTCACATAGCGTGCATCAACTGAACTCTGCTTTGAAAACGATAGTATTTTTTTATGACAGAACTATTTAGTCTTTTTTTTTCTCGTTAAACTTTGCTTTAATGAGTCTCAAAATTCTGTGACAAATTTTTTTTTGTTTCCATTTCAGAAGTACTGATTTTAAAACAGGGAAGGGGGGAGAGAAAGTACTGATTTTAAAAACTAGTGACTTAAAACTGCCACACAGTAAAGAAAACAAATGGTCCACACAAGATTCTTTTTCTTCTGAAGGTTTTACACTGCATTGTCATCATTAACCAATGTTCTACTGCTAAATGGCCAGTTGAGACATGCAGTTCTGAGACCAGTCTTCCACCAGTGATTAAGATTGGGGTGGCAGATGTTATGCGTAACATTCATCCAGCCTCCTGAGCTTTCTGAGTAGACTTGGTGAGCTTGTCAGCTCGAGCAGCCTTCATGTCCACTGCTTTGATGACACCCACAGCAACAGTCTTTGTCATGTCAGGGACAGCAGAATGACCCCGAGGAGGGTAGTCAGGGAGCTTGCCACACATGGGTTTGTGCAGCATCCCGACTTCAAGCATGTGGGACCATCTTCAGCTTAGGAGAACAGTGATCAGTCTTCTCTTGGAGCTCAGAAAACTTGCAAGCAGTATGGGCTGTATTGCAGTCCAGCACAGGTGCCTGGTCAGCATGTCTCAAGATGATCACCTGAGCAGTGTAGCCAGGTGCTTCCACCGGTGGGTCATTTTTGCTGTCACCAGCCACGTGGCCACGTCAAACATCTTTCACGGAGATGTTCTTAACATTGAAGCCAACATTGTCAGTGGGCAGAGCTTCACTCAAAGCCGCCTGGTGCATCTCAACAGAATTGACTTCAGTAGTAACATTGACTAGGGCAAATGTGACCACCATGCCAGACTTGGGGATGCCAGTTTCCCCTCTGCTCACAGAGACAGTACCAGCACCACCAATCTTGTTGACAGTCCTGCAGAGACAGACGCAGGGCTTGTCATTTGGACAAGTTGATGGCAGGAAGCAGTGTGGTTCCACTGGCACTGCCATCCTTCCAGGTGACTTTCCTTCCCTTGAACCAAGGCATGTTAGCACTTGACTCCAGTGTGTTGTCACCATTCCAGCCAGAAACTGGCACAAAGGCTACTGTGGTTTGGTTGTAGCCAACTTTCTTGATGTAAGTGCTGACTTCCTTAACGATTTCCTCCTATCTCTTCTGACTGAAGCATGGCTCAGCGGAATTCATTTTGTTAACACCAACAGTTAGTTGCTTCACACCCAGTGTGTAAGCCAGAAGGGCCTGCTCTTCGGTCTGCCTGTTCTCTGAGAAACCAGCCTCAAATTCACCAAAACCTGCAGCAACAATCCGGATGTCAGTCAGCCTGTAATATTCCTGTCATCATGTTTTTGATAAAATCTCTGAGTCCTGAGGCATTCATGATGGTCACCTAAGACTTATAGTTCTCACATTTCTACAGGCAGGTATAAACAGTGATGTCACGCCCACGTACATGTTTCTGTTCAGAAAGACCCAGGTTATTGGAAGGAGCCCTTCGTGTCTCAGCAGCCGCCTCCTTGGACTTCTGTAGGTCTGGTGGCCAGAACTGGTGGGCTGGTCTGCCTCAGTCTTTGTGTCCAGGGACAACCATGTTGATATGAGTCGTCTTCCCCATTTGGGCTTAGGCTCTACATTGGTATTCGCCAACACCTGTGTTCTGGCATCAAACCTGTTGCAAAAAAGAGCCTGTGACAGAATGATCCAGCCAATGAAAATCCACCATTCACTGTGTGTGCTTCAGTGGACAGGCATTGCCACAGCCAGCTTCCAAACATCACCACTGTGTGTGCTTCAGTGAACTGGCATCACCACAGTCAGCCTCCGAGCATATCTCCATCACTGCACCGGGAGACGCGGCCTAGCTTGCGCTCGTCCTCCCTCCACTTCCTGCTTATAGACCGCTAACTAGTCTGCTGCTTCTATCTGTAGACCTCCCTTTGCAGGCATTTCTGTAAGTTGAATCTGTGCTTTTTGGGCACGAGCTGCTTCTCCTGAGCAGAAGGTCTTCAGTGTTCCTCAGTGGCCCAGACCCGATCTGCCAGCACCTCCTTTGTTTTTATTGCTTGGTGACCCTCTCTTCTATGACTATGTTGTTGTTAAGTACCATCGAGTCGCAGGCGACTCAAAGTGACCCTATGAAGGAGAGTCCTTGATGCTTGGGTGCCTTTCATCCTCTCTCTAGGTTCATAGGGTTTCCAGAGGCAAGCTATTATGGAAGTGAATGCCACTCCTCCTTCCACGCTTGTTTTAATTGGGGAGCTCCACCCCACTCTCTGTCCACATTGGGTAGCCAACCATTAATGCATTTGACACATCAATGTCACAGTGTTCAGCCTCACAGCAACCAAAAGTGACCGTGGTACGGCAACTTGTACACCAGGGCTATATATGACCTAAGGAATGAGTGAACAAAAACAATGAAAGACAGGCCCGAGGACCACGGATTAAAAGTCACCCACCTTTGGCCTGGTAGCATTGCTTTCTGTCCACTGGGCCAGCTGATCTATGACTATACCACATTTTATTTATCTGGTCAACTGTCAGCTGATAAAGCTTTAGGGTTTTTCCACTTTTTGGCTATAATGAATAATCCTGTTTAAAATATTTGTGTACAGATTTTTGTGTTGATCTAGATCTTCATTTCTCTTGGGTTCATACCTCAGTATAGAATGGATAGGTCATAGGGTAACTCCATACTTGGACGAACTGCCAGATTTTGTGGCATTGTACCTTCTCAGCAGCAGTGTGCGAGCTGCTTGTCCACATTCTTTTTCTGATCACGCTCATCCTAGTAAGTGGAAAGAAAGGGAGTTAGAAAGTATAGACTTGGTGAGAGAAATGAGGCTGGACAATGAATGACTGAATTGTGTATATTCTGTGATTTATTCATAGCAAATACCTTTTTTAAGAAACACAGAAGGTGACTTTACTCTTGGACTTCACATGACAAACTGCTCAGGAATAAGATTGACTATACCTGTGGATAGAATTGTTGGAGAAG